GGGGGGGGGGGGGGGGGGGGGGGGGGGGGGGGGGTAGGGTGGAGTGGGGTGTCTGAGCTATTAGCCCCAGCGACTCTTTATACACTCGTTATACGCACACACCCGTTCTTTGAGGTCTTAAGGCTGCTGGACTGTCAACCCGTCCAGTCAAGCCTGCAGTTAGGTGCTTTTTTTTTTTTCTTCGCGCTCCTCTCCGGTCACGTGGCCTGCAGGCTTCTCTGCCTCGGTAGGCATCCAGCTCCAGTTCCTCTGCGTGTGGCTGGTCTGCTTGGTCATGGTGTCGAATGGCAGCGTTGGGGCTTGGTGCAAAGAGGCTTATCTCTTGTGAGCGTACCTTGACCCCTTCTTAAGTAGCCGTCTCCGCCTCTCCGCTCTGCTTATCACAGAGCCTCACTTGTATTGAAACATTATCTCTAAGAATCGCCCCCTCTGCAGTCATCAGTGTCACCCGACTTTGTCCCTTAAGACATCCAGCGTACTGTATCGGGTTTTTCCTCTGAGAGCTGTGACTTATTAACAAAAGCGGTGGGTAGTAGTTGTTGGATAAAGCCCACCATCAGTTGCTGGGCAAGGAAGTTTGCCATGCACTAATATGTTCCTGAAAAACAAGTTTGGGGCAGTGTAGTGAGAATCACCCTTTGATTGCCTTGTGATTTTGCGAATTATCCAAAAATACGTGTTTTCCAAATAGATTTGAAACAGGCCTAGGCTTTTGTGGCTGTCATTCTTTGGAATGTCCAAACACACCGAGTGCCTGAAACTGAATCAAATCTCCTGATATGTTTGTGCTAAAGTACAATCCCCTCAGATGTCATCAGGCATGGTATGTTAATGTTTACAAATCAGTCAGCTGGAAAGCTTGTAAGCTGTGTTAGCTGTTTTTTACATAAGGTGAAGGAGAAGAAAAATGGCCTCCCAGTGCAGGCTGGGTACTCTAGCACCCTCCCCCTCGTACAAGTAGACGTGGCCCTGGCTTAAAACTTTTTCTCTGCACTAATACCGAGCCATAGGACACTTGCAGAAGCCAAGTTCCAAAGTCCTCCCCTCCTTACTGAGTGGAGCAGCAAATAACGTAACACCTACAGCAATGCCAGCTGCCTTGCTGTGGGAGCCTGGAACATGTACCCTTTGCTTTGTCAGTCTTGCTACTTCGACCGGGATGATGTGGCTCTGAGGAACTTTGCCAAATACTTTCTCCACCAATCTCATGAGGAGAGGGAACACGCTGAGAAACTGATGAAGCTGCAGAACGAACGAGGCGGCCGAATCTTCCTGCAGGATATCAAGGTTAGTAGATCTAGGGGTGTCTTACAGATGAGCAGAAAGTGGGCTTTTTGCCCTTGGACTTTTTTAGGCCTATACCAACACCAAGGTTGGCAGATAGCAGTGAGCAAAGACGTCCGGGGGAAACTGTTGTCAGAGGGAACTTAAGGCAAAGCATGGTGGTGAGGCGGTTACCGACAGGTTGATTGGTAGAGTCTGCGGATGAACTGACCTAATGCTCTTGGCAGAAACCAGACCGTGATGACTGGGAGAACGGGCTGAATGCAATGGAGTGTGCACTGCACCTGGAAAAGAGTGTGAATCAGTCACTGCTGGAACTGCACAAACTGACTACTGACAAAAATGACCCCCACTTGTGTGACTTCATTGAGACACATTACCTGAGTGAGCAGGTGAAATCCATCAAGGAACTGGGTGACCACGTGACCAACTTGAGCAAGATGGGAGCCCCTGAAGCTGGCATGGCAGAATATCTGTTTGACAAGCACACCCTGGGCCACAGTAATGACAGCTAAGCTGACTTCCCCAGAGCCACAGTGACTTTACTGGTCACTGAGGCAGTGCGTGCATGTCGGTCTGCCTTTATCTTTTCTATGAGTCGCACCGAAACATCCGCTTAAGTTCTTTCATTTGTACCATTTCTTTAAATAAAGAATTTTGGTACCCAGCTGTTGTCTTGAGACTGAAGGTGTGTCAGCGTGCAGTTGTGTCCCTGTGACGCTGATGACGACACCGAACACCTAAAAGAATACTTGTATTTATTAAACTCCTTAGTGTGGGGAAGATAGTAAGACACAGGTGTGTGTGGACAGGACTGCACCCCTGGTCCTGAATTCCTTTGCCAGACTGTCTCAGGAACATATTCTTTGGGTGTCGACAGCTGTGTGCCTCTGACTGGATCAGTGTCCTGCTGGCATCCATGCAAGATGAGGACCAGGCCAAGAAGCAGCACTCTTAAGAAACACGTTAGGTGCCAGTTTCATCCCTGTGGAGGATTTGAGAAAGTTCCTTCATGAGTTGGGAAAGTGCTCGACTTAGGATTTTATGAGGACTAAGGTTGAAGCTTATCTTAAACACACCCAGGAGATTTGTAAAGTCAATTGTCTAGTCCTAGAAGCAAGTTAGACCAAAAAGGTGGACATTCTGATCACAGATGAAACTAAGAATGGGGAAGTGGGAAATTGACTCCTCATGTGATCAGTGTGGGGGTGGAATATTCCTAACTTGGCAAATGTCCAAGAAATTTCAAAGAGAAATAACATGATGTAGGCTTGTGACAGCTTTTCGGCTGCTTTGGAAGCCCTGAGAAGGTATCCCCAGGAGACCTGGCCAATGCCTGGGGAGAAGGAGTTCTTGGGGATGGCCCATAGACAAGTGTTTGTCATTTAGCTGATAGAGCAGTGAGGCTGGTCTTTGGCCTACTACTAGAGACTTAGTACTATCTCAAGGCTTTTTGTCACCGTCCATCCCTATAAAAAGTAAACAGCCTGGCCAACTACTCCCTTCCCCAAGATAGCCTGCCATCCAGCATTCTGTTAGTGCAGTTTCACTTTCCAGAAGTGTTCTGCTGAAGTGGACAAAAGGCCTCCCAACACATGGTTTTTGCCAAGGTGGCTGTTAACTATGTGGGGACAGAGGTCCCTAGACTCATCAGCAATAATGGGATCTTTAGAAACTGGGTCACAAGCAAGTGGCAATATAGTTCCTCATTGGGGTGGACAGACCTGTTTTCCAAGGTGGGATGGGGCTCTACATGGTCCTTCAGCATGGTGTGTATGTTGTTTGGCCGCTGGTCCAAATGGGGTTCTCTAGAATATCCTGTGGGACTCTTTGGAATGTTCAAGTTAAACTCCACAGTTTTCTTCTTCATGTGATTGACTTCTTGGTGCTCCGGGGAAGCCTCATCACCTAGGAGCAATTCAACATTGGTCTTGAGAAATTGCCTGAATGTCAAAAGCACTTCCTGCTCCAGAGGACCTGAGTTTGGTTCCCAGCACCCACACCTAGCAGCTCACAGCTGCATATAACTCCAGCTCCAGGAGATTGAACACCCTCTTCTGGCCTCAGGATTACCAGCACACATGTGGCATATACTCAAAAAGACATACACACATACATAAAATACATCTTTAAAACAAAGTGTTCTTGGCCTCAGAAGTCATGGGTGTTAGGCTTTTGTCTTTCGTGTCCGTACCTGTGACTAAGTAAGGCTTGGAGGGTGCTGACTGCTCAGGAGGGAAGACCATGGGAGTGTGGCTGAGGGGTGTCTGTGGGGCGCTGTGATAGCCTGGCCTCTCAAACAGTGGAGCAGCCCTGAAGGAGTCCAGAGTCTTACGTCTCCAGACATTATCTTCCTGGTCACTAGAGTTCTTCCTGGAATTATGCTGGCTCTCGAGGTAGGAGTCCTTCTTGGACCACAATAGTTTGGTCTTTGAGTCTCTCCTGGGAGGTTGGTGGTCACTGGACTGCAGCCCTAAGAAGCGGCCAATGACACTGCCATGATTGTTCTCATCGTCGTCATCCTCCTCGTTTGGCTGAAATTCCATGTCTTCTTTCTGCAGGCTGGAAGGAAAAGGTGTGCACAGAACTAAGTGGGTGGACCCGAAAGATGGGCACAGGTCTCTGGCCAGGACCAAGGCTGCACAGCCTTCCCAGTGCCTCAGCTCTCCTCTCCTTCCCAGGGAGTCTCCTAAGGCCTAGTTCACCTTAGGCTACCTCTTGTTCACTGGCAACATTCATTTCCCCAGCCTAGCGTTACAGATTTGGGGAGTGTGTGTGTGTATGTGGCGGTGGTACCTGTGTATGCGTATGTGAAAGTCAGAGGATAATCTCCGTTTGCATTCTCAGGAACACCATCTACCTTCTTTGGGACAGGGTCTCCCATTAGCCTCAAACTCACCAGTCAGGCTAGTCTATCTGGCCAGCAATCTACAGGGGTCTTTCTGCATATTCCTCTTCACTAGGATTACAAGTGTGTGCCACTATGCCTGTCACTGTCACGTGTGTTCTGGAGATCAAACTTGGGCCTTCCTGCTTTTACCAAGAGTAATTCCCTGAATCCCACAGGCTCCTGTTTATCAGCCACCCTGTTCAAGCATCTCTCTCCAGGCAATGGGAATATATGCTCCTGGTAAAGCCAGCTCAGATAAGGCCCAGTAGTGTCCACGCAAAACCAAGAATTTATGTTTCCCAGTGGGGAGCAATATCTTCCAAAAGGGTGTTTGGCTTCCTGGCAGCAGACTTCCTGAGGCTTCAGGATCTTTAACCTGTAAGAAAAAGCTTCTTACCCAGAGTAGAGCCTTTGCCCACATCCAAAGTCTCCCTGGCTCTAAGACCTAAGACATGCAGGCCCAGAAAATCAAAAGCAACCTCTGTTCTGCATCCTGCCCAGTCCTTTGGCCATGGGTTGGAGCATGCTCAGCTCACTAGCTTGCACAGCCCCTGAAGGCAGGGACCCCACCCAGCTTCAATGCTAGTGTTCAGATGAAACAGGTTCAAAAACATCTTCCAAAATTATCCTAGTTAATTCTGATTTCAGTTCAATGGACTCTTTGGGTCATAAAAGAACAAAGAGAGAACAGCACAGTACAGTGCGCCTTCTCAGCTCTGTCATCCAGAGAACTCTGTGGGATGCGGGAAGGCCCATTTGGCCCACTGTATCCAGGAGGAATTCAGATGAAATGGGATTGTACAGAGGAAAGTGTGGCCGTTGTGGGTGGAAGGAGGCCTTTTCTCTATAGGACAGTCTATTCAGGAGGCTGGGACTCCCTTGCTGTCCCTCCTCTACCCCAGGCTTCCCACACTTCCATGTCCACACAAAGGCTAGTTTTTCTGGTCAGAGTTAGAAAGCCGGTCTCGGCATCTCACTACATCGTCAGGCACTGGCTGCCCTTGGAAAGGTCCTATTTCTTCCTAGGCCTCTACACAAGGGAGGAGAGACTGGACCAGAGGGCCTCACACAGCACTGTGGAGGGTTAAGAGTGTAGAGGTAGCCGGATGTGGTGGGGTACAGCAAGTCTTTAATTCCAGAATTTGGGAGGCAGAGGCAGGAGAATCTTTGTGAGTTCTAGGCCAGCCTGTCTAAACAGCAAGCTGTGTACAGAGATCTGTCTCAAGAAAATAATAATAATAATAATAATAATAATAATAATAATAATAATAATAAAGGTAGAGCCACAGAGTGATGGTTCCCACCTATAGTCCTAGGCCTGGAGAGGCTGAGGCAGGAGAATTGTGAATTCAAGGCTAGCCTGGGCTGTCAAAGATTCAAAGCCAGCTTGGACTACATAGCAAGACACTTGTCTTCAACAAAGCAAACCACCAAAAGCCCCCCCAAGGTAGTAGAACCTGTCTGTAACCCCCCAGCAACATAGTGAGTCTGAAGGCAGCCTGGGCTGTATGAGACTACCCCAAGGAAAACCAACCAAAGATAAAGAATGTGGAGCTGGAGCCAGAGAGCTAGCTCACACGTGTTCTTTCTCACTTACGTAACTTTGGGCTGGGCAACTTTTTTTTTTTTTTTTTTTTGGGCTGGGCAACATTATTGCCCCTTTTAAACTTACTTAATTGTCTGAAAAGTAGAGATAACAAACAAAGGTTATTGGGAGGGAAAAAAAATGAATGTCTGTAAAGAGCATAGTCCAAGCTGGGCCGTGGCAGCCCACGCCCTTTAATCCTGCACTTAGGAGGCAGAGGCAGGTGGAGCTCGGTGAGTTTGTGGCCAGCCTGGTCTACAGAGTGAGTTCCATGACAGCCAGGGCTACACAGAGAAACCCTGTCGAGAGAGAGAGAGAGAGAGAGAGAGAGAGAGAGAGAGAGAGAGAGAGAGAGAGAGAGAGAGAGAGAGAGAGAGAGCGAGAGAGAGAGAGAGAGAGAGAGAGAGAGAGAGAGAGAGAGAGAGAGAGCAGGAGAGCGAGCGCCTAGTTCTTACTGGCACGCATCGTGTAGTAGCAACTGTTCCACGTTGCTAGGGAAGCCTTACTTGAGTGTTTCCATTTCCTCACCCAGGTCTCTGGCATTGCCTACCTGATGTTGAAGGTAGAGCCCAAGAAGGATGGCCGACGAGACTGGGCAGAAGCTGCTGTGTAGGGAGGTTGAGGCTCTAACTCATTCCAGTACATGTCACGCTCCATGGGAGGCAAATCCTGGTGCATCTCATCCACAGACAGCAGGGATACCTGATTGCCAAGGACAGAGGGGGAGTATCCAATAGCATGGGCAACCCAGACAGGAGCATGAGCTTGTGTGATGCCTTAGGGGCCTCAGTCTCCCCGCTGTGGTACGGAAGAGACTCATGCTTACTTGCCGCCTCTAGAGTTGAGGTGTGAGTCCTGGGAGTGAAGGATTGACTGAGAAAAGAGCTAATGTTTGAGAAGGGGAGGATATTTGCTGGGGAGTCTCCTCGGAAAACTGCTGAGGCCCCTCTTGGGATCCAGTTTGAGAAAGATCCATGGCACAGTCTTCCCCCTCCCCCATACCTGAAGGTTTCTGTCGATGATAAAGTTGGTCTCAAAATCATCATCATCCTCTCCGAAAGGGTTGATGAGCTGCTCTGCCACCTTGGGGATGGGGGTGGGGGTGGGGTGAGGCTCTGAGAACCTTGACACTCTGGTTCCCATCCTAAGCCTTGGGTCCTGCCATTTCCACTCCCTCGTGATACCCTTCCTGCCTAACTGTCTTCAAGGCCACAGCATTGGGCCCTAGCGCCCTCCCCATGGGGCTTCCATGTCCTTGGTCTCTGCTCTTCTGCTCCTCTCACCCTCATGAGGCGACCTACCCATGAAGACCAGCTGTCCCTTCCTACGTCACTCCGCTGAATCACCACCTTGATCCCACCCGAGTAACTAACTCACCTCGAGTTGCACTGATTCTTTTGTACACTTATTTATTTCCTAATATGCATGGATTTGTTGTTTCATGGTGTTAGGGATAAGTGCTGAGGCTGTGCTGAATTACAGTGGGCAGGAGGGGAGTGTCCCGGATACCAATATCTAAAACACTAAAGCAAAGCTCCACAGGGGTGATGACCGTTTTGTGGGTCCAGGGGACATCCTGATAGCTAGTGAGGCACCTCAGATAATTTTAAGCATAAAAGTAGTAGAATCCAGATGAGCTTTTAGAAAACAAAGGTAACTGGGAGAAGGTATATGGAGACTACAACTCTCTCTCTCTCTTTCTCTCTCTCTGTATATGTGTGTTGGACAGAATAGTTTGTGTGTGTGTACGCTCATGCATGTGTGATATGCATGACCTTCTTTTTTAGCTGCTTTATCTCCCTCCCAGGTGGCTGCTGGCCATAGCCCCTCAGTCCACGCCTATAACGGGGAGGGTAGTATCCAGTGAGGCCTACCTTCAGCCAGCCCATGTAAAATAAGAATTGTAGGATTGTGAAGATAGGTACAATGAGGTCCATCTCATGGCCTGGGTAGTTCTTGACTGGGTTCAAAAACTGCCGCCCCACCAAGCATGCGAGGAAAAAGCTGTATACTGCCACTGTCACCACCTGGAAGGAGAAAGGGCTCAGGTGCCGGAAAAGGGCTAAGCAGAGACCCTCAAGCTTTGAGTCGAAAGCCTTCCTCATGTGACTGGGTTTCTGTTTGCCTTCTTTTATTTGTTTTTTTTTTTTTTTTGGTCTGGTGTGTGTGTGTTGTTGTTGTTGTTGTTTCTTTACTTTTATTTTTTTAAAGATTTATTTATTTATTATGTATACAACATTCTGCCTCGATGTATGCCTGCACGCCAGAGGAGGGCGCCAGATCTCAGTACAGAAGGTTGTGAGCCACCATGTGGTTGCAGGGAATTGAACTCAGGACCTCTGGAAGAGCAGGCAATGCTCTTAACCTCTGAGCCATCTCTCCAGCCCCTACTTTTATTTTTTGAAACAGGGTCTCATGTAGCCCAGGCTGGCACAAAACTCACTATGTAGTCAAGGATGCTCTGTTCCTCTAGCCACCAGATCCCTAGTGCTGAAAACACAGATGTGTGCCACCGTGGTCCAGTTTCATGCAACACCGAAGGTCAAACCCTGGGATTCATGCATGTGCCAAGCACAGCCCAGTGAGCTCTACCCAATTTGCTCCTCTTTAAGACCAGGATGGGGGCTGGAGAGATGGCTCAGAGGTTAAGAGCACTGGCTGTTCTTCCAGAGGTCCTGAGTTCAATTCCTAGCAACCACATGGTGACTCACAACCATCTATAATAAAATCTGGTACCCCTTCATCTGTAATAAAATCTGGTACCCTCTTCTGGTGTGCTGGCAGAACACTGTATACATAGTAAATAAATAATTTAAAAAAAAAAAAAAAGACTAGGATTCTCACACACCCTCTGCTGGGCTGGACCAGGCAGGAGCACAGATGCCTTGACCTCAATACTAGGAAGAATCTTCCAAGTCCAGGCCTAAGTCCCAGGATGGGAATCTGTACTCAGCCTCTAGGGAAAAGCCTCACCAGTCTCGTCCTTACCTGTGTGTACACCAGCGGGATGCTGATCCAATCATAGGCATACAGATGGCCACACTGAGTACGCAAGGTGCACATCTCCTGGAGGGTGGGGGAGAGGGAGGAGGTGCTGGCCACCACCTGCTCCCCCAGAACCTCCCGCAGCTCTCCCCCAGATCTAATGCAATGATGTTAATGTGATAGCTTTGGCTGTGTGGTCACAGGCAGTTCACTAGACCTCCGTGTCTCAGTAGCTTCATCTAGCAAAAAAGAGCCAGGACTTCACAGGCTCACTCAGAGAAGGGACAGAGGGGAGATTTGGAGAGGGGCCACTTTGGGCTGTGGATTCTTCTTCAAAAATATCATACACCACCAGGACAGGCTAGGGGAAGAGCCTTCAGTATTCTCTTTAAAGGAAGCCACAACCCTTCCCGCTGCATCCCATCTGTGGGCTCACATTTATCAGGCTCTGGAGCAGGACAGAGTCCCGGATTCGACCTCCAACATAGGCTTTCATTGCCAGGTTGGCAAACCACACCCAGGGCACCCAGTATGTGTTGTGTGGTAGGCCCAACTTCTGCAACTGCTTATATTCCTCAGGGGTCATAAAGCCTGCAGGGCAGAGTGGACAAGGCAACAGGTAACCCTGCAAAAGAAGTAGTCTGCACCAGGAAACCCAGCCAGCCTGTCTGAGCTCCTAGGGATTTCTGTGCTCTTTTGATATGTTTGTTTCAACACACAAAATGACTGAGCCCCAGTTAGGTGCTGTTCTGGATCACATGGGACAGGAGGTGGGAGGGTAGAGGGCTTTGCTATTAGCTAGAGTCAGGCCCCGGAAAAGTGAAGTGAAAGCCAAGGCCCCATGTTAAACCATCCAGTCTGGAAATCGGAAATCAGGACAGGCAGAGAGAAAGGACGTAGATCCAAGTTCCATCTGTCCCCAAGCCCCTTCATTTAGCCCTGAAGGGTTCTTGACCTTTCTCAAATCCCTACCTTTTTAGTTTACTCTGGCCTGCCCCACTTCTAGCACTGATTCTGGCCTGCCCAATTCTGTCCCAATTCCTGCCCCACCTCAACCTCTTCAAGTCCAGAGGACTTTGGCTCCACCCAGCGTCAGCTCCTGTCACTCCAAGTCTCAGGTCACGCCTCGGGTCAGCTCCGGCCTGCGGACCCGCCCACTCCAGGTACTGCCTACCGGCTTGCACCAGGTGTTGAAGACTGGGGAAGCGCTTGTAGACGGCGGTGCTGATGCTGCGCAGGATGAGCACTTGGCCCAGGATGACGTACCGGATGAGGGTGCGCCGCAGCAGCCGACCTTGCTCGTCCTTGCCCTCCACGAAGGCTGACACCTGGCTCATGAGGCGGTCGGGCCAAGGCAAGCTCTCGTACTGGTTCCACCAGCGGGTCACCACCAACGTCACATAGAAACCTGGGCAGGAGGGATGAGGGACGAGGGGCGAGGGGACGGGCTGTGGCCAGAGCCCAGCGCCGGGAAAAGCCTCGGTTCCTCTGTCTTCTTGATACGTGTGGGCCCAGCCTCAACATTTTGAGAAGACCACTGGCCCATTTTACCCCACTTCCCGCCTCTGGTGGGAGTCCGCCCATTGTGTGCCTGGAACTAGGGGGGACGAACACTGGACCCCGAACAGCCGCAAGGGGGCGCTCACCCAGAACAAAGGATATAGGGATGAGCTGAATGTAGTTGTCGCAGTACAGGGCCAGCTTCTCAAACATCAGCTGCTGGTCATTCGTGAGAGCCATTCTGAGAGTGAAAGAGGCATTGAGAGAAGTGTCTAAGAATGTGTTCCTACTCCCCGCCGGGGTGGGTGGGGGAAGAGCGGGGCTATCTGGACTATCTGGATGTTGTCCTTTCAACTGGTCTGGCCCAGGTTCCCTTCTGGTTAAGGTGGGTTCTTGGAAGAGGTTACTTCGGGCTTTGTGAATGTGTGTATGTGGTGTGTGTGTGTGTGTGTGTGTGTGTGTGTGTGTGTGTGTGTGTGTGTCTATGGAACCCAGCTCTTACTTCTGTTAGGAAAATACTCCACTCCAGCACTGAGATATATTATATTCCCAGTCCTTTACTGACCCTTTTAAACAAACCCAGGGACAGTTGTTTAAAAGTGGTTGACAGAACTGGAATGATAGTTCAGTGGTTAAGAACATTTGTTGCTCTTGCAAAAGAACCAGATTCAGTTCCCAGCATCCATGTGGCAATTTAGAATTATCTGTAACTCCAGTTCCAGGGAGATCTGATGCCCTCTTCTGGCCTCCTTGAGCAATGCACACACATGGTGCACATACATACCAATAAAGCACTCATACACATAAAATAAAAATAAATAAATCTTAATAAAATAAATAAAAGCAGGTGGAAACTAAGGGTCTGGTGTTTTTAGAAAGTATAAGGTAAAAGGCTTGGCAGATCAGTTGGCACAGTGCTTGTCTAGCACAAGTAAGTCCATAGGTTCAGTCTTGGCACCACATGTGGGACTGAACCCAAGCATGGTGTCACACACAGAGACACACAAAAAGGAAGGTGGAAGGGGATGGCCAGGCTGAGCATCTGGTTTAAGGGCAATGAAGTGACTCTTGATGGTACTCTAATGGTACATACATGTTATGGAAGATACATTTGTCCAAACCCATAGGATGCAGGAAATGGTGCATGAGCCCCAATGAAAACCATGTACTTCTAGTGACACAAGGTAAGTTCCCTGACTGCAGCAAAAGCGCCAATGTGCAGCTGTGCTTTGCTAACGTAGAGGGTGGGATGGGCACAGATGAGAAAGCTTTGTATCACCAGACTAGAGGTATTTTATATTTTACATTTTTCTTTTCTTTTTTCCCCTTTTTTTTGGGAGGGGGGAGTCTGGGACTAGCTCTTGTAGACCAGGCTGGCCTTGAACTCGCATTGATCCACCAGCCTCTGCCTCCCGAGTGCCACCACCACCCAGCATTTTGTGTTTTTCAGTACATGGTAGAATGATTGCTTTTTAATTTTTTATTTATGTATCTTGTGTGTGTGAGAGAGAGAGACCAAGTATGTGTGTACCTGTACCATACACATGCATGGAGTTCAGAGGACAGTGTGGGAATTGGTGCTCTCCCGTAATTTGTGGGTCCTAGGGATTGAGCTCAAATCCTCAGGCTCAACTATAGGTGCCTCCAATTACAGAGGCATCTCTCCAGCCCATGCTTTTTCACTTCAAATGTTATCAGGTATTTTATAACTATACCTGCCCGTCATTCTTTTGTTCATAAAAACATTTTCTTGAAATAGGCGTGTTAAACTGTATTGTGGCAGCCTGCGTGCCTCAGTAGGACTAGCTCAGGCCTGTGTTCCAGGTCCCTTCCTGGGTTGGAGAGAAAGAGCTCCTGAGTCACTTCTGGTCTGGAGTGTGTGTGCATGTGTGTGTGTGTGCGCGCGCGTGTGTGTACGTATGCACGTTTGTGTGTGTACGTGTGTGTGTGTGTGTGTGTGTGTTGGGAATCAAACCCAAGATGACACACATGTCAGGAATCCCCTCTGCTCTGATTTGTGGTGTGTGCATGTGTGTATGCATACGTGTGCATGCATGTTGGGGATCGAGCCCAAGATGACACACATATCTGGCAAATATTTCTTTTTTTTTTCTTCCCAGCCTCTACCCCCAGTGGCCAGAGCCTGGCCGGAAGTTCAGCTCAGCCTTATAAACAAGCTGGAACATTGGACCCTCTCCTCCCCAACTCCTCCCATTTTCTCTGCAGGCTTGGAGAGCCCTCCTGCAGATAGATGCTCCCCCCTCCCCCCACTCTCTTACCGGTAGATTCCACGAATGGCATAGTAGAGAAACATGAAGATGAGGAATTCCCCGTACAGCAGCTTGTAGATGCTGCCGCGCCAGCACAGGAGCAGGCAAGAGAAGGAACCGAGACGGGCATTGGCTACTTTGTTTGTGTAGGTGATAGTCATGGCTTGGCACTGGGCAGCAGCAGGTGGGCTTGGGTCCTGGTCAGCAGGCAGAGGGTAACACAGAGGGATAGGGTGGGAACACATGAAGACCTTGGGCAGGTCTGTGACTTGCCATGTGCCCATGACAAAGGCAGGGCTGCAAGGGCAAGCAGCAGCATTCGCACGGAGCTCAGGGTCTCAGAGCCAGGCAGCGCGAGTGCTCAGCCCGGTTCCCCAGCTTCCTCAACAACACTGGAGTGAGTAGCTCAGGGATGCAGGCTAGTCCTGCTCACAGCCATGTCCCCATTGCCAGCACACAGTCTGAAAGGAGGAAATGCCCTGCTAATGGTTACTGGATGGTGACCCCAGGGCCTTTTCACCTGCTGCTATAACCACCTCGGGGGGGGGCACTTCCACTTTGGGTATCTCCTAGGAGAAATGTCCCCCAGCCATCCTACTGGAAATAACGCCTCAGTTGTCACCAGCGGTGTCTTCCCACTTGGCTTGTCCTCTACAAGTCATCGGAAGTCATGTGACACAGGCTACTCCTGCTCACTGTTTATTCTCTTCTCCCACTGGAAGCCCTTAACGTGTTCTTGGAGCGGGTGCTCGATACAGACTGATCAAAGCCTTGATTGACCACTCCCTTTCCACCGTACAGAGTCCATCTCCCCCACACGTGCGCCAATCTGTGCCCACCACACCCGCAATCGTCCACCCCTTAAGGTCCGCAAAGCCCCCAGCGCTTTCCACTTGGGCAACCCCTACTCACAGGCAGGGTTCCGGCAGTTCAGGCAACCCCTTAAGTCCTGGCCACTGAGCTGATGGGACTCCCTGAGACCCTGAGGCAGGTACCCCTGGCCATACTGGGAGGCTGGCACTGCCCACCTACATATGTGCCGAGTTGCCACCTGACTTTCTAAGCCAAAGCTTGAACAAAGGAGCCCTTGTCTCGGGCCCTCCTGTAAGCTGCTCAAGTGCAGCAGCCAGCCCTGCCTGGGCACTGTTCCTCTAATTCCTTCCTGGGGGTGTTGAGCTAAGAACAGGCCCGGAATTGAGGATCACGCCCCCCTCTTCCATGGCTCTAAACTTTAGAATCAAGAAATCTGTGTGGCCACCACTGTGTCCTGATTTCTGAGGTCTTTTGGGGGGCAGGATTAAGCCTCATCTAAAGTACCAGGAGTTCAGGGGAATAAATTTTGTCCAGGCCTCTGGAGGCCCCTCCAGAAATGACTATAGCCCACTGCCACAAGTCCCTGGCTTCTAGTGACCTGTGTGCTAGCCCTGACAGGGCCTCAGCATCAGCATCTCAAAAGGATGCGTTGCTTTGGAATTTCATCAGCACAGTATGTAACAGCAATCTGCATGCACTGGTAAGAAGCTCTGATTGGCTGCTGGTGACATCATAGGTGGTGGTGGCTGTGATTGGTTGGCAGGGCCTACTAGTAGGTACCTCGGAGGTAGGGAAAGAAAAGTGGGATTGGAAGGCCAGGTGTGGCAGCTGGCCTTGGTGGGAGAAAACCAAATGCCAGACGTCAAGCTACCTAATTCCAGACAGCCTGAGAGAAACAAAGGCTCTACCCATGCCCCAGGGGCAGCGGGGCAGCATCTCAAGAGCTGGGCAGACCTTAGCACACCTGTCCTTGCTAAAAGCTCTTCTAAGTATCCGGCTAAGACGGGGGTTTATCAACAAGCTTGTCCTCCACGAAGAGTGCCGACTCCGAGGGGCACTGCTTCTCAGTCTCCGTGGTTGAAACAGTTGCCAAGACACGTACCAAATGCGCAGCTCCTCTGGGTCTTTCTTGGGAGTCTGGTGCTGCGTCCTTGAGACGTTGCATTTTTATCAAGCGCTGCAGGAGTCTGATTTGGGTGGTCTTGGGAACCACACTTGTGGAAGCCCCAGCTTACAGTTTGACCCTGAGTCTTCAAATGAAGCCGCCCTCCTACTCCCCGCTGCTGCCCTCCTCCCGCCGCTCCACTCCCGAAGGAGGCTGAGCTTGCAGGTGATTCTCTGTCCAGAAACGGGGAAATAGCTATTTCCCCATGACCTTGACTCCATTTCTAATCACAGCGAACAAGAAAGCTGGTGTTATCCTGAGAGTCTGCGGAGACCCAGGACAACCTTGGAGGGAAAGCAGCCACCCCTCCCTGCCACCCTGTTCCTGTCCATAGTTGAACAGAGAAGGGACAGAACTGATGTGAGCCTCAGTCTTTTTGTTTAAAGACAGGGTGAGATTAAGTGCTGCCCTGCTGCAGGGTGAGCAGGCGGGATGACAGACAAGCCGGGCCTGGGGAGGATCTGCAAAGCGTGGTGCCTGTGGCCCACCTGGCAGGTGCACAGGGGCAGGCTCGCCTGGCCTAGGTGCTGGTTTGCAGTTGTAATATACAGCCTGGGCTGAGAATCGCTATGGATTCTTACCTTGCTTTTCCTTAGCCCCAACACATACTGACACTCAGAAGAGAGCTTACCTACCACCTACTAGGCTTACACACACACACACACACACACACACACACACACGATAAGATGCTTGCCATGTGCCCATGAGGGCATGAGTTGGGATCCCCAGCACCCACCCATTTAAAAAGCGGAGTATGGCATGTCTCTATAACCCTGGTGCAGAATGATACAGACAGAAGGGTACCTGGAATTCACTGGCCAGCCATTTCAGTCAACATGGGCTCCAGGTTCAGTGAAGAGACCCTGTCTCAAAAAAGAAGATGGTGGTCAGATGTGGTGGCATATGTCTCTAATTGCAACACTTGGGACGCAGAGGCAGGCTGAACTGTATGAGTTCCAGTACAGCCTGGTCTACATAGTGAGTGCCAGGCCAGCTAGAGATACACGGTAAGACCTTGTATCAAGCAGACAATAAGGTGGAGATCCATGAGACAGACAACCAACAATGTCCATGGCCTCTGCATGCGTGTGTATGCACGCACACACATGCACACCCCCACCGTCTACATGTTTTATTTGAGGTATCTTCTCATGTAGCCCAGGAGGACCTTGAACGTCTAATACTCCTGTTTCTACTTCCTGAGAGCTAAGATTACAGGAGTGAATCACCATACCTACTTTATGCAGTACTGAGGATCCCATGAAAGACTTCATGCATATTAGGCAAGCTCTTCTTCCACTGAGATACATTCACAGCCTAACAAATATATATTTAAACTAAAGTTGAACCAGTTCCTGTCACACATTCTGTTTCAGATTTAAAAAACAAAACAAAACCCAGCAAACCCTGACTTTAATGGATGCAGGAGCATCCCTCATATTGGCCACTAGAGGGAACCATTGACCTGCTTTTTGCTGGGGAAGCCTGGTCCAGCTGTCCGGGAAGATGCCAGCTGGCTTTGGAAGGCTCTGTTCTCTCCCTGATCATTCATTACCAGTAGCTGTAGAATCCATTCAAGGAGCTGGGAGGTGCTGGATCCCTTCTTCCCTTTTCCATGTAGCCCCCCCTGCTCCTCATCATTAGCCCAGCAATCCCTACGGGCCACACTTCCTAGGGCTGTTCCCCATCCCAGATGGGCCAACATGTCTGCAGAGACACTCTGTGAACAAGCTGCTCCTGGACTCACTCCGCTCTAGGCACACTCCAACACAAGGCATGGTCTCCCACAGATTACAGACACGAAAATGTCTCCAGCCAAGCAAGCAGACCTCAGGGAAACAGTAAAGCCGAAGACATACCTGGGGGTGCAGGACCCCGAGGATCCAACTCAACCCAGATCATTCTCTTTTTCTTTCCATTCCACAAAGACGGTATTCAACAAAACATCTCTGAGGCCAGCATGGAATCCATTCTAACTCCTGCCTCTAAGAAGTCACAGTGGAGTGACCACTAGAGAAATGTTTTTAAACCTCCAGCAGAGAATGAGAGCGATGGCATCTGAGAGACCAGGAAGACTTACAGAGAGGTAGCGTTGAAGTTGGGGCTTGGAACAGGAATAGGACCTTACGGAGCAGAGACGTCAGTGCATCAGAGCAGCCCATGGCCAGCCATAGAGGCGTTACTGAGGGACATCGAGTACAGACACTTAGGCGACACCGGAGCTCAAGGCTTGTGACTGAGGTCACATCATCGTCCGTGATCTAAGACTAGGACCTGGGACCATAAGTGTAGTGATAGTTCGTTTGTATTTTAATAAATAAAGCTTGCCTGAAGATCAGAGAGTAAAACAGCTGTGGGCTCAGTCACACAGACCAGGCAATGATGGCACACACCTTTATCCCAGTAGCCACACTAGTTTGCCATGGCAGCTGGGTGGTAGTGGTGCACGCCTTTAATCCCAGTACTAGAGAGACGAATATAAAACAGGAGGAGAAAGGTTTCAGACAGTCTCATTCCGAGGATTCCTGGAGGCAGGATTGCCATTTTGGACTGAGGTAAAGGTAACAGCCAATGGCTGGCTGCTTTGCTTTTCTGGTCTTCAGGTTGAACCCCAATATCTGTCTTTGATTTTTTATTAATTGTGCTACATATAAGTCTTCTGACTTTGGATCCTGGGCCCTTTCTACCCCCAATCATGACCTCTGCCCTGGACAGGGGCTATCCAGGACCTGAGACTTACCTCTTAGGGTCTCTGTTGGCGTTCAAGGGAGGTCTGAGGAATGAGGGGTGTGCAGAGCAGACTTTGAGGGTAGCAGAGCCCATGCTCTCGAGCCCCCTGGTAGAGAGCCATGTCAGGGAGCAGGCAGAGCACAGCTGGGCTGACAGGTGAAGGTTCCAGACCCAGAACAATAGTCTTCCCATCTAGGATCACCATGGCAACAGGAGCATCACAGAGGACCTGACCTCTGCCAGGCAGGTAGAAGAGGGCCAGTAGACAGGAGGCCTTCGGGTGGGTCTAGTGGGCCTGGCTGCTGTCTCCAGGCTCTGTATAGGATGCCAGCCCGCTCTACTCCCCTGGGCCAATCACAGAATAAATAGGGCAGAAGCCAAGAGGAAGAAAGAAGTAGATGAACACAGCTGGCAGGGAAGCAGAGGACAAATGGTGCCACTCCAGGGACAGG